TTAAAAGTTCTTTTCCTTTTTAAAAACGTTATTCATTTATGTATGAGTGCACTGCATGTATAACTACATGTCAGAAAAGGACATCAGATTGTATTATAAATGGTTGTGAGCCACCCTGTGGTTGCTGGGAATTAACTCGGGATTTCTGGAAGAGCTGCCAGTGCTCTTAACCACTGAGCTCTCTCTCCAGCCCTAAAAGTTCTTTTTCATTTAAGAGCATTTCATTTAGTTTGTTTTGTTGCTGAGACGGGTTTCCTTTGCCCAGGCAGGCTTTGAACTCACTACAGAGCTGAGAATGAATTTTGGATCCCGTGCTTCTTCCTCCTAAGTGCTAGGACTACAGAGGTGGGCCACTACACCCTGCTTTGGGTCTGGAATCTGAGGGAACACTAATTCCTTCAGTGACTCTCATAAAACAACTGGTTGTCGTTGCTGATCCTGGACTATCCCTGCATCTTCAAGGTGCAGTAACAGTCCTGTAACAGGGGTAGGCAGATTTTAAAAATTAGTGAAGCATGGTCTTCCCATGAAACCTAGGCTGCCCTCAAACTGCCACCTCCTGCCTAACTTCCCAAGGGCTGCGATCAGAGGTGTGCACCACCGTGTCTAGCTAGAATACAGATTTCTAAACAAGACTCCAGACCTAGGAATTCAGATATTACTCTCAAATTTCCACAATCTCACACAAAAAGGGAAAAAGAGAGACGATCTTGTGCCAAAGCAGGTTTATTGGTTGTTTTACACAAAAGAGTAAGAGTGATTTCTGAGCACTCAACACAAAGCGCCTTTTTCCAGCTGTCTTTCTTTCACTCTGAGAAAAGGTAACAGATCTAGGCAAATACAATGGACTCAAACTTAGATTTCCACAAAGCGGGCAACAAAGAAGCCAGCACCTCTGCTTCCTTAGGAAAGTGGACAAAACCTGAAGGTTGATGAGATGTAAAGAAGATGAGACTGAACCCTATAATGACATTACTTATTCTGTTGTAGAATACAACAGACAAAAATTCACAATTCAAGTAATATTTTAAGGAGAAAAGTACTGGTGAAGTTGGATGAGAAACCTTTTTTAACCTATAAATAAGGGTTTTTAGATTTACTTCACTCTGAAGGCCAAAAATAACCCAAACGCAAACAAACATAAAAATACAACTTGTTTTTGGTGATGCTGCAGACTGAACCCATGGCCTGCGCAGGCTGTACCAGCTCTGCCATCCACAGGAGCTGCCCACAATATTCCTAAACTGGATCCTTCCAGATACTGAGCACAAGCATTTTTTACTTCTTCAAATCCTCAGAACCTAAATTATGAGAAATGATTACTCAGGCTACTGGGAATATTTCTGCATATCAGAAGTTTGACTTGGTCCATTATTTCACTTATTCCTTCCATCCTAATCCAGACACCGGGAAGAAGCACTAACTGAAGGCCATCATTTTCCCAGAAGCCTGTGGTTCAGACCTAACCACCCTACCTACCCCAGGAGAAACTCACATGGACCCTGTTGGCAGGGTAGATGAGTCCCCTTCATGGACTCAGCAGCCAACCGTAAATCCTAAAACAGATTTGGAGATGGACTTATCCATGAATCTGTCTTCTCCAGCGCTGGGCAGGGTGGAAGTGTAGAAATCAGAGCATTCTCAGGAAGAGGGAAGGTGTCACTTGGTGCCCCCCAGCTTTCCGGGGGAAGGGAAGGAGACACCGAGGTGTCTTGATTTGGGCTTCTCAAAACTCCCTTATTTTCCACCATCAGCAACTGTTCTATCTCCTCCTTCAAAGAAAAATGTGACGGAAACGCATGCGTGGGAGTCACTGAGCGAGCCTTCTGGGTTCTCAGGTCTTCTGGCCCCCTTGACTCCCGACACATTGGTTTGTCCTCAGAATCCTCACTGGCTTCACCTTCCTTCATGGGAGGCAGAATTTGAGAATTTCCTGTGGTTTCTTTAGATTCTCTATCCAAAAAATTCTCATCCTTATAAGATCTGTGACACAGAAAGTGTGGAGCTGTGTCTACGTCCGAAGTTTTACAAACTAAAAAGCCCCTGACTGGGCCCTCTTTCCCTGGTGTGCGCCCGGCTGGTGTCTTTGGATGCAGCACCGTCCTTATGAGCAGGCCCTGCGCATTCATTCTGTACTGCTTCACAGCTCGCTCTCGGCGCTGCTTCTGGAAGTCCTTGAGTTGAAGAAGCTCCTCGGGCAGCTCCATACACTCAGGCTGGGAAAGCAAACAAGCACAGGTTTGCAAAGTCGGAACCAAACATGGTCCCTATCACCCCTGAGGAGAACAGGCAAGTGAGTTTATCCAAGTGTGTTCCTGCAGTGCCCTCTAGTGTTTCCAATATAATACTACTTTAAAATTTTGATTGTATTGTTTTGAGTAATTTAAGTATTTAAGAAAATTAAATATTTAAGTGTGTATGTGTGTGTGTGTGTGTGTGTGTGTGTGTGTGTGTGTGTGTGTGTGTAAATACAGGAAATATGTTTCCCAGCCCGGCTTAAGTTGGCTTAGAAGGTGCACCCTCTGAAAAGCTTTAACACCCAGGTACAGTCAGTGTACATATGATCTCAGGTGTGTGTGTGTGTGTGTGTGTGTGTGTGTGTGTGTGTGTGTGTGTGTGTGCTGCCTGACTTAGTAAATGTGTGTCTGCACTGGATGACTTCTCATGTGTGTGGTAACTGGGATCCCACTCAGGCTTTATAATAAGGTAGACTAGTATTCTATCAATGACCAACATCCCAAGTCCTAGATTACATGTCAACCCCCTCAAGTATGAATTTTTATAACTTTCTAAAATTATTCTACCCATATGGTAACATAGTTTTACATATTTTTTCAGTACCTTCTGGGGGGCAGGGTCTCCCCATGTAGCTCAAAATAATCTTGCACTTCCTATGTAGCCCACAGTTGCCTGGAACTCACCATACTCTGACCTTATTCTCCTAAGGACTAGAATTACAAGTGTGTACTACTGCTATGCTGTAGTCACATATTCTGGGGGAATTTGCTGCTGTTTGTTTTAAGACGGGGTCTCATGTAGCTAAGGCTGGCACAGAATTCACTAGGTAGTTCCAGATGACCTTGAAATTCGGATTTCTCCCGTGTGCTGGGATTACAGGTGTGAGCCACCATGTCCAGTTTATGTGTTTGTAGAGATCAAACTCGGGACTTCCTGTGCTAGGCAAGCACTCTACCAACTGAGCTGCACACCCAGCTCTACTATCCTCTTATTTTTAATTTAAAAAAAATCTGTCTGAACCTGGCAATGGTAGCCCACGCCTTTAATCCCAGCACTCTGGAGGCAGAAGCAGGCAGATCTCTGTGAGTTTGAGGCCAGCCTGGTCTACAGAGCGAGTTCCAGGACAGCCAGGGCTACACAGAGAAACCCTGTCTTGAAAAACCAAAGGGGGCAGGGGTGGAAAAAGTAAAAAAAACAGCAGAAGAAAATACATGTTGATCTCTGTTCTCCATAAACTCAAGCACAGGCTAGCTCTCCACATATGGGTACAAATGTGGATACACCACACAGACATGCATGCACGTGACACAGACACACACATACACAATGTATCAATCTCAACATGGTGGCACATGCTTGTAATCCTAGCTCTTGAGAGGTGGAGGCAGGAGAATCAGGAGTTCAAGATCATCCTTAGATGTACAGTAAGTTCAAGGTCAATCCTGGATATATAACACTTCGTTGAAAAAACAAAACAGGGAGGTAGAGAAAAGACTCACTGGTTAAGAGAAACTGTTGCTCTTCTGGAGGACCCAGGTTTGGTTCCCAGTACCCACATGATGGCTCACAACTATCCGTAACTCGATTCTGGAGATCTGGTGTCCCTGCCGGCCTCCATCCATACTCCCTCCCACACACACACACACACACACACACACACACACACACACACACACACACACATATATTTTTAAAGGCAAAAAAGGGGATCTAGGTTGTAGCTCAGTTGGCAGGATACTTGTCTAGCATGAGTGAAGCCCTGAGTGTGATATGTAGCATTACAAAAACAGGGCATGGTGGCACAGGCCTGCAGCCCAGCACTGCCCAGGTGAAGGCAGAAGGATCAGGAACTCAAGGTCATCCTCGGTTACATAGCAAGTTTGAGGAAAGCCGGGGACACATCAGTCCTTGTTGGAGAAAAAGAAGATTGAGCACAAGGCTATTCCATGAAAGTTGCTGTATTTGGGAAGAGTAGGTGTCACAGTCAAATCTGTAATTTGTGACAAATCCCAAGACTGTAATCCCAGCTGCTCCAGAAGGAGGCAGGACAGAGATCAAGGCCATCTTAGACAACTTGGTCAGACCTTTTCTTAAAACAAAAAATTTAGAAAGGGCTGTGCATGTAGTTCATTAGTCGGGGGTTTGCTGGGAACGTATGAGGTCTTCTGTTTGATCCCCAACACTGCAAACACACGAACCCACAAGGGAGTCCCCAAACCGACAGTGGACAGAGGAAGAGACAGAGAACACACCACACCCACAGAAAGCTGCACTTACCTCTGTGCCTGCAAGCCGGTCTGCAGAACCTTCTCGATAGGTGTTTAGGTACCCATCCACCAGTGTGGTTAAGTCCGACATCATCTCATCCAAGAGTACCAAGCGGAGTGGAAGCAAGTAGGTTGTTTCCAGGGCCAAGATTTTCAATAAAGGGGGTGGAAGAGGCCTTGTCAACCATACTTCTGGATTTTCCTAGGGAAAGTAAAACCATTTTTCCCCAAGACAAGGTTTCTTTGTGTAATAGCTCTGGCTGGGATTGAAGGTATGCACCACCACTGGCCAGTCAGTTTTAATTAATAGTAAGTAAAATTTAGCCAGGTGGTAAACAGTGCAGCCAGGGCTACACAGTGAGACCCTGCCTTGAAAAACAAACAAACAAAAAAACAAACAGACAGACAGACAGACATAAGAACATAGTGTACATAGATTTTTTTTCCCTTAGATATCCCACACCAGACATGGATAAACACTGGGACCCCTGGGTACCCTAAAGTGAGTCAGAAAAAAGTAGGGTTGGGAGGGAGGCTGGTACATCAGGATTTCTTGCTCAAAGTTTGAGGATGCAGGCCAGCCATACAGCTTGCCTGCTATGTCTAGGACCCTAGGTTTCATTGCCAGTATCACACAAGCCCACAAAGTTGGAGAGAGGGCTTGGAGTATAGTATAGCTCAATGACAGAGCACTTGCCTATCATATACAAAGTCCTGAGTCAATCCCTGGCACCACTGAAGGGAAAAATGCTAGATTTTAGCAATGACCAACTTTGTAGGTAATACACTCACAACCCAGGTTTGCATGTAAGGATATTATACACTGTGGTGGTTTGAAAGAAAATGACCCCAACGTGAGCAGCACTACTAGCCACTATGGCCTTGTGGTCTTGTTTGAGGAAATGTGTCACTGTGGAGGCTGGCTTTGAGGGTCTCATATGCTCAAGCCATGCCCAGTGTCTCAGTTCACTTCCTGTTGCCTGACTGGCTCAAGAGGTTTTAGAGGAGAAGAATTGCCTAGAAACTATTCTCAGGATATTTTGATAAAGAATGTGGCTGCTTTTTGCCTTTGTCCGACAAGTTTGCCTGAGGTTAAAGTGAAGAGTTTTAGATTAATTCCCTTGGCAGAGGTAATCTCAAAACAGCCTAGTATAGACTCTATTTTGTGGTTACTAGTGTTAAGTCTAGTGAAGATTTATAATGAAAAGGAGCAAGCTGAGCAAGGAAAAATATTTGAGGAGAAAAGGAGCATCAGAAAGTGGAATGGAGGGCTGGAGAGATGGCTCAGAGGTTAAGAGCACTGACTGCTCTTCCAGAGGTCCTGAGTTCAATTCCCAGCAACCACATGGTGGCTCACAACCATCTGTAATGAGATCTGGTGCCCTCTACTGATCTGCAGTCATACATGCTGTATACTAAATAAATAAATATTTAAAAAAAAATTAAAAAAAAAAAAAGAAAGTGGAATGGAACTAAATCCTGTGTTCAAGTAAATAACCGGATTAAGAAATGGAATAAAGGGAGTGGTGACCTCAGCTAAATTTCCAATTTGTGAAAAGAAATTTAAGAAAAAATTGGAGCCAGGTGTGATGGTGCACACCTTTAATCCCAGCACTTGAAAGGCAGAGGCTGGCAGATCTCTGAGTTTGAGGTGGTCTATAAAGCAAGTTCCAGAACAGCCACGCTTAGGCAGCGAAGGAAACTATTGGAAAACAGAAAGCTGGTGAAGATGTAATTGAACAAAAGGGCCATGCTCCAGCCCCAGTAAGCAGCACAACTTGGCAGCTTTGGCCATGTGGTTCTAGCTTCAAGGATAGAAGAAAGGCATTATGGAATCTCCCTCTGCGACTAAGGAATGCTGCTGAGGCCAGGCATGTATTGGGGTGTCCCTGAATGGAGGCCTAGAGGAGCCATTGCACAAAGCTGTGAAGGTGGAACCTGGATTGCCTTGGAGACCCCAAGATGTTGGAGATACCAGAGCCATGGGATACCTGTAGAGAAGAACTGCTAACAGGGAGTGGAACCAGCCCAAGAGGAAGAAGTGTGCTGCAGCTCACAAAGCTGGAGTTGGAGATCTGAAGAGCATTTTGGCATCAGACATGGAGATGCAGAGTTTGGAGTTTGCCCAGCTGGTTTTTGGTCTTGCTCTGGTCCAGTATTTCCTCACTATGCTCCCTTCTCTGCATTTTGGAATGGCAGTGTATATCCCATGCCATTTTATGTTGAAAGTCTGTGATCTGCTTTTTTATTTTGATTTTATAGAGGATTATAGTTAAGAGATTGCATGAATCTCAGAAGAGACTTTGAACTTAAGACTTTTTAGACTATGGGGACTTTTGAAGTTGGACTAAATGCATTTTTGCATTATGATATAGCTACAAGCCTTTGGGGGCCAGGAAGTGGAACGTGGTTTGAAAGAAAATGGTCCCCCAAAGGGAGTGGCACCAATAGGAGGTGTGGCCATGTTGGAGTAGATGTGATCTTGTTGGAGGAAGTGTGTCACTGTGGAGGCTGGCTTTGAGGTCTTATATATGCTCAAGCCACGCCAAGGGTCTCAGTTCACTTCTGTTGCCTGCAAAATGTTGGACTCTCAGCTCCTTCTGCAGCACCATGTATACTTGCACGCAGCCATGTCCCACCATGATGATAATGGACTAAACCTCTGAAAATGTAAGCCACCCCATTACATGTTTTCCTTTATAAGAGCTGCTGTGATCATGTGGCCATGTTGTCTCTTCACAGCAATAGTACCCTAACTAAGACATGCACTAAAGAAAATTTATATAGCTTTGGGAAAAGCAACTAAGATGATTTTGGTTCCAATGTCTTAATTCAAATTTCTATAAAACCTTCCC